GTAGGTGGAACAACTCTTAATCAAGCACAGAGAGAAAGATGGGAACTGTAGTTCCAAGCTCCATGAATATATCAAAAACTGATAATGAAACAGGCATCATTGATTCTCCAAAGAGCTTGATGTTGGAGCTTAGTTCGTCCTCAAGTCAAAAGGATAGTCAAATTAGCCAAATATGAATATGAATATCCAAGAATTTGTCAAACATCCACATATGTTTTAATCCAAACTTAAGTTCTACGCAAAAGTTCACTAAAAACTTAAAAATTTCTATTTGAAAAACTCTTTCTGCAAGAAGTTTGAGTTTATACTCAAAGAAAATAATTGGTTACTAAATTTAGTCTGGTAGTATAAAAGCACCAAGAAAAAAAAAATTTCAACTGCATTTAGACATTAAGAAAACTTAAAGAGTAAGTGCTTTTAAGATTACACTAAGTTGACACATAAATCATCAAATTTTTACTCTATAAAATAAAATATTACCTTTCGAATATGGTTTCTGCTTTCCATCATGTTAGCTGCTGGGTTTGAGAACTAATCAAGTTCATTTATGATTAAAAAAAAAAAAAAAAATTAAAAGGATGTTACTCATTTATCCCATCACACACACATGCACATGCACACACATAAACACATACTGTATATGCATTAAATGTGACAAAGTAAGAGAAAGTTGTGCAATTCTTGGAAGCTAATACATTATGCAAGAGCTAAAACATATCATATCCAATTTGATGGAGATCTATGGACAAAACCATACCATTATGATGTGTACCATAATCAATCTATAACTTCACATGGAAAATATATGTAATGTATGAAAGAAATAATACCAGACATTGAAGGAGTTAGAATGCCATCACCAATAACCATGCTGGTTCTCAAAAGCACTACCAGTAGCAATAGAAGTTACTCATTCCTCAATTGATCTTACGTTTCATCTAGTTTTCTAGCACAACTCTTGTGTTATACAAATGGCTGTAATCTCACAATACAAACATCATAAGTTCATGCCTTAGTCTAACATATCATAAGAAAATAATGAGAAGGAAACAAAAAGAAATGAAACCTATTAGAATCATTCACAATGGCTTCAAAAACAACCTCATCAACCTACAGGAAATCCCAATTCAATTAAATCACTAAAACAATCAAACACCGCCATCAAATTTCCAATAAACATTTGAATTCTTCACACAAACGTACCCGCCTAGCAAAGCCAAGGCTAACACAATCAAGAATCTTGAAATCAGACATCTTGAACCTCATAACATGCCCTGACTCTTCTTCCTCCATAGAAACAACCTCAGATTCAACTCGAGAAACAACCTTCCTCGAAGATGAACATTGAACTCCAAAACTTCTCCTCTGAAACATCACACATGAATTTGACTTCCCACAAACTGCTTACTAATCAGCCTTGTTGACAAATTCCCACTTAAACTCCATCTCTCAACACCCTCCAAACCCGGACTGGAACCAATCTCACATATTGCCATGTAGCCAATCTGCAAAAAGACAATTTTGGATCATTCTGAGAACAAAAACAACTATAGACGTTTAGTTCTCATATCATTTTAAGGAACATAAAAAAAAAATCAATATTTAAATCTAAGTCATTGAATTATACAAAGAAATGAGTCATTCAACACATATAGAATAAGTTTAAGTTCAATTGTTGAGAAACTTATTCACTACTTAATTAAAAAACTTTTAAAATTTAAATCCAATCCATTAAGTTATACAATGAAATGGAATCTTTAAGAAATTGATTAAAAGGTGTAAAATAGTAATGTAGAATTATGCGTTAACTGTAGAATAAACAATATTTATATTAGCTTCTGGTATCATCATTCAATAGGAAAAATAAACTGTGAATCTTTTATTGATTTTATTGATAATAGAACTATTTATATATATAATTATATTTTTCTCCTTGAGGAATACCAAGTTCCTTTTCTTTGGCAATAATCAGGGATACACGTTTCTGTAAATCGAATATTACATGTATGGTTGAGCCTGTTATTTCTAACAAAACACTCATTATATCTCTGTTCATCACTCTGGCAGTGTTGAGTTTGTCCTGCGTGACTTTAAGGTTTTGTAAAATACCTTCAAGTTCAGGCGAACCATCTGACGTTACTGCTTGACCTGTTAAAAATCAAAAAATGGACATGTAAAAGTAAATATGTAGAAGGAAAATAAGATTTAAGAAAATTGTAAACGATATTGTTTCACAAAAAAAATGTTAAATATTGATTATAATAGAATATAATAATTAATAATTTTTTTTTTTTTTAATTGAGTTTTTATGTTTAAAGATTGCTAGAATCGTTATATGATTTTCATTTAGGATGTCGTTAATTGGTCCCCGTATTTGCTGCTTATTAGTGTTGATAAAATAGGGATGATTACATGTATTCAATTAATGTTACAGTACGATCTTTTTCATTCCTCTTTAATTTGATAAAATGCAAGTGATAAAAGATTGAAATGTCGTTTGTAATTCAGCAGGAATTGATTAATTGAATAATACAATGGTTGAAGTCTTACAACTTATGAAAGTGGTTTTGACACAAATAAATATTAATTGAAGATGAAATAATATTGAACATTTTTGTGATAGGAATATATTCCTTTTCACAAAAAGAAGAGTGCAACACTTTTCTACAACAATTTGGTACATAATATACTTGAAATGCAATTTGCCCTTCTTAAAATATTAGTTTCTGCAGGAGAAATAACCATTGCTTTGAGGTCCCATAGTTAATTTTCACATTTTAAAAGGCTGCCCAGCAATGAAATGAGCAAAATAAAATTAAATAAAACTTGTCATCCTTCATCATCAACACAAACTCTATTCGCCCAAAACACAAACTATTACGTGCTACAGAGTCCACAACAAAAACATGTATAACCTATCTAAGAATGTAAGTTTGCAACTTTTTGTATAATATATACTTAATTGATAAACATTTTGCAATATAACATTGTTTATAAGACACGAAAAAAACAAAAAAAATAGACAATATATATTATTTAAATGGTTTATACTTTGTCTACGCCAAAAAAGAAGTAATTCATTAAATATTTCGCGAATCTCACCCCCATCAATGCTCACTGTAATAACAACATCTGAATCAATATTGTACCAATTTTTTATTGCATAAAAGCATTAAGTTTTTTATTAAATTGCTTTGAATCAATATTATACCAATTATTTCAAACCGTTTTTCATTTCATTGATGGACTTGAATATTTGGGCTCCAAATTACGGAGATTCGGCTCAAAACGACATGAGATTACACAAACATACTCAGCAAGTTGAGACAAAACGACGTCAAAATAATAAAATATAATTCGGAAGCCACTCTATCAGAGCCAGGTTTCGATCCTGGGACCTGTGGGTTATGGGCCCACCACGCTTCCGCTGCGCCACTCTGATTTCTGGTTTTATTTAACTAATATTAAAATATTGTTTCAGTGCTCTTATTAGACTGCCTTCATTATTTCACTAATATCCTATCTTCTTTGTTTTCGTATTTTCAAAATCATATCTTAAATTAAATTTTTTAAACCCTTTAAGTTTATTAATTAACAAAAATATCCCTAACAAAAAATTTTATAAATTAACAAAAACACTCCCACCTACTCATAGTTGCTAGATTCCAACAATCACACTCGGTGGTGGCCAGAATATGTCACAACGGTGTACTACCAACCGAAACTGGTCAGTAATATGCCGATCTGACCTTTTCCGACCAAATCCATCATGGATCTGGCTGAAAAAGACCAAATCGATGCACGACCGGCCAAATCCAGCCGGTTGTGCGTCGTAACGCCAGATTCCGACCGTGGTGGCCAGAATCTGGCAATTGTGAGTGGGTGGGGGTGTTTTTGTTATTTTACAAAAAAAATTATATATTGAAGTGTTTAGTTAAATTAGCAAACCCAAGAGATTTTTTTTAATTTTTAAATTTTACCTCATAATAATTTTCCAATTCTACCTACCAATAATATTTTAAAAATACTATTCAAAATAATAAAACAAACACACCAATATCCCATCTCAATTATTATCAAATCAAAATTCCAAATATACTTATTTGTTTATGTTTAGGAGATTTATAATTTATTATTTGGATTCTAAATAAATCATTATACTCTTTTATTTTGTGGTGAAGAAAAAATAGAAAAGAGGTAAACCTGATACAATCTCTTTTAAATAAAAGTTGGAAATTTTGTAATAATCTATTACATAATATTGAAATAAATTATTAATAAACTTTAAATATAGAATTGTAAAATAAAGGTATTACCCAAATAGTTATTTATTTAGAGTTTGATAGACATCATGCAAATACCTTTTTTTTTTTTTTTAATCCAATTTAACTTCATTTATTTTTGTATCTTACCAATTGAAATGTATTTAACAAGAAGAAGTCCTATTTGCTCATAAATTTTCATTTTTTTTCACATTATTTAATTATACAAAAAGTGGCAAAATATTTAAAAAAAAAATCTAAATTAAAATTAAAAATCCGGAAGAAATAGAATAAAAAGCAATTATCCCACAAGAAAAGGACGTATCAAAACCAATTATTTCACATAATATATAAGGGTTAATATTAGTTGACTACTATCAAATACTTCTTTACCAACATATATAACACCTAAAATAAGAAAAAAAAAATGTCACTTTGTTTTAAGTTTTGGTTTTATGTTTCGTTTTTCGCCATTGATATGGTTTACAATTTCTAATATTTGGGTACCAAAGATGTTGAAGCGAGTCACAATTTTCCTAAGAAAATTTGGGAGAGAAACGGAAAGAAAAAAATTATTTTTGAAGTTTGTCAGTAATAAGAGTGAAATATACTTTTAACTTTTTAATAAAATGAAACCGTCTTAACATTGACCTCTCGGTTCGGTTTTTTCCAAACTCAAACCAAATCAAATAAATTCTGTACCCAGACCAACTCTTAAATCAAATAAACTTTTGATAAATTTAAGAGAAATAACTAGTTTAATTAAATGAAACATAGAGGTCAATGAATTTTCCTCATTCGAAAACAATTATACAGCAACACCACTTTCGCTCAATCAATTTTCTCGGCAACCAAACACCAAAACAAACCATTCACCTCCACTCTGCCACTTCTTCTTCTTCTACTCATGCAATCTAAATCTCATCCAAATCCCTAGCCCACGAAACCCCACAATGGCCTCACTCTTCTTCTTCTTCTTCTTCTTCTTCTTCTTCTTCACAATTCTGCCATGAAACTCCCTTCTCTTCTGCTCCGCCCAGTCTCCTCTCATCTCATCTCTCCCAAACTATCTTCATCGTTCTCTTCTTTAACTCTACAATCTTCTGTTGTCAAAGAAGTCCTGACCATCCTTGACACTATCAACCCCATTGAACCTGCCTTGGACCCTCTAGTACCCTTTCTTTCTTCCCAAAATATCAACTCTATACTCAAGAAAACACCAAACCCTCAATTAGGTTTTCGTTTCTTTATCTGGGCATCTAAATGGAAGCGTTTCCGCAATGAGAGATCTCAAAATTTGATCATTGACATGCTCTTAAAGGCGAATGGGTTTGATTTGTATTGGCAAATCCTTGAGGAGTTAAAGGCTAGCGATGTTTCTATTGTGTCCTATGCGTTTTCTGTTCTTATTTCAGGCTATGCTGAAGTGGGTAACTGCGAAAAAGCGTTGGAGATTTTTGGTAAGATCAAGGAATTTGATTGTGAGCCTGATGTTTACACTTATAATAAGATTTTACACATTGTGTCGCGTCAACAAGTGGTTTTGTTAACTTTGGCTGTTTATAATCAGATGTTGAAATTGAATTGTACGCCCACTAAAGCAACGTTTAGTATTTTGATTGATGGGTTGTGTAAGAGTGGCAAAACTCAGGATGCACTTAAACTGTTTGATGAAATGATGCAGAGAGGCATGTCGCCGAATAGGATTACCTATACTATTGTTATTTCGGGTTTGTGTGGAGCCAACAGGGCGGATGATGCATATAGATTGTTCAGGAAGATGAAAGAGAGTGGTTGTAGTCCGGATTTTGTTGCTTATAATGCTTTGCTTAATGGGTTTTGTAAGTTGGGTAGAGTTGATGAGGCTTTTGCGCTTTTGAAGTCATTTGAGAAGGATGGTTATGTTCTCGGATTACGTGGATACACTAGTTTGATTGATGGGTTGTTTAGAGCTAAGAGATATCATGAAGCCTATGAATGGTATAGGAAGATGTTGGAAGATAATGTTGAGCCTGACGTTGTTTTATATGCTGTGATGATACGAGGGTTATCGGAGGCTGGTAAGGTTAAGCATGCTATGAAGTTGATGAGTGAGATGAGTTTAAGAGGCGTGGTTCCTGATACTTATTGTTACAATGCCTTGATCAAAGGGTTTTGTGATATGGGTCTGTTGGATCAGGCTCGGTGCCTTCAACTAGAGATTTTGAAGCGTGATACCTCTCCTACTACTTGCACCTACACCATTCTTATTTGTGGCATGTGCAGGAATGGACTTGTTGATGATGCACAGAAAATATTCAATGAGATGGAAAGGGCTGGGTGTTTGCCTTCTGTTGTTACATTCAATGCACTTATTGATGGACTTTGTAAGGCTGGTGAGCTTGACAAAGCTAACCTTCTGTTCTATAAGATGGAGATAGGAAGAAACCCTTCGTTATTTCTTCGGCTCTCTCAGGGTGGCAATCGGGTTCTTGACAGTGCTAGCTTGAAAACTATGGTAGAGCAATACTGTGAGTCTGGATTGATTCTTAAGGCCTACAAGATTCTTACGAAACTTGCTGACAGTGGCAATGTGCCAGATATCAGGACTTATAACATTTTGATTAATGGTTTCTGTAAGGCCAATAACATTAATGGTGCTTTTAAGCTCTTCAAGGAGCTGCAACTCAAGGGGCTCTCTCCTGACAGTGTAACATATGGAACTCTTATAACTGGTCTTCAAAGAGTTGGCAGGGAAGATGATGCCCTTAAAATATTTGATGGCATGATAAAGAAGGGTTGTACCCCTAGCTTGGCAGTTTATAGGTCACTTATGAGTTGGTCTAGTCAGAGGAGTAAGGTTTCATTAGCTTTTAGTCTTTGGTTGAAGTATATGAGGGAAATTTCTGGTCGGGAACATGAACCACTTGGGGAAATAGAGGAACATTTCCAGAAGGGAGAAGTGGAAAAGGCAGTCCGAGGCTTACTGGAAATGGACTTTAAGCTTAATGATTTTAGTTTAGCACCTTATACCATTTTTCTTAATGGAATGTGTCAGGCTGGACAAGTAGAAGAAGCTTTAAAAATTTTTGTAATTCTAGAGGAGTGCAAGGTCATCATCACTCCTCCAAGCTGTGTGAAATTGATACATGGTCTCTGCAAAAAAGGAAACCTTGACCAAGCAATAGACATTTTCCTTTACACAGTGACGAATGGTTTCATTTTGATGCCCCGAATTTGCAATTATCTACTTAAGTCTCTTCTTCGTTCTAGAGAGAAAAAATATCAAGCCTATGAAATTCTTAGCAGAATGAAGTCTCTTGGATATGATTTGGATGCCTGCCTTTACCGATCTACAAAATCCCTTTTACCTAGTCATTGGAGTTCATGGGAAATGGAAAAGTCATCTCCTGGATGAATTTTGAATGCATAGAAAACGGAAACATGTACAATATTTTGGGCGCTGCAGAGGAAATAAGTGGAGTGATTGGGGCCTGTTAAACTTTTTTGGTTCCCCATTTCAACGTTGTACTCTTCACTGATTTAATCACCCAAGAGTTATTAGGACCTGATTACTGGGAGAAATAACAGAAATGAGTCATTAGGAAAGTGGATGGCATAGACTACTTTCTATGCATCCAAAATTTTTGTAATTTATACACTGAATTATTTTTGTAACTTTATTGATTGTTACGAAGGGGAAAAATTCATTTTCTCTGAAATAAGAAGTTACTTCTTTGAAGTTTGAGTGACTGATTATTTTGTTATTGCTTTCTTCCTTGGATATTCCCTTCAATATTTAGCCAACTACATCAATCAACAGCCTCTTCAGTGAAAGACGTGGGCCTGAAGAGGTATATTACATAACAGGCAGAGAAGTTTTAGGTTTGTAATCTTAGCATGCGATGTGTATTCCTAAATTATCCCATTTTTCAATTATTAAACCATTTCGTATTATTAAGTTCAAAGTTAGTTAGATTAGTCAATATTTATATGTTTGGATGCAAGTTGCAATGACAAGATCCTATTTGTAACAAGTAGCCTTTTTAGTTGTCCCATTTTTTTCATGAAATGGGTTGGGCCGGATTGGAATTAGTTTGATTAACCACAGTTGATGCCTTTCTGAAAAAAAAAAAAAAAAAAAAATACAGATGAGGCTTCTTGATGCAGCAATGAGATATTGAATATGGAATTCAATTGAGGGATGGAACATTGCCTTGCCAATGGTTGTACTCATAGAGTTGATACTTCTGTAAGTGTTTATAAAACCTGTATTTTTCTTTAAAATTAGTACCTAGTTGCATTTGTTTGTGGTGATTTCTGAATTTGTTTGGTCTTCTAAGTTTCTAGTTTAGATTTCTACTTTGGGAGCTGGTAATTTGGTTAATTGAATGGCAAATAGTTTTTTTGTCTTTCAATGGAAGTTGGCTATCCACCCTTTTACATTAAAATTTTTAAATCTTTGCATTTCTTGTAGAAACTCTTCTGAAGAAGTGTAACCCAATTACCTAATGAGGAAGATCAGGTTGATTCAGTCCATGAAACTTATTAAGATGTGAATGAGTTGACTATGAAAAAGAACCTCCTTTGCAAACAAAACCAGTGCACAATTATAGCAAAAAAAATGCAATAAGAATAAAAACTGATTCTTTTCAACTCTTCTTCGTTTGAATTGTCCAAAGGCAAAAAACTAAGGTAATATATTGACATGAAGTTAGGACATTAACATTTACGCAAACTACATAGTGTTACAGAGTTTATCCCTTTCTTTTCTGTACAGTGCAGGATATATTTGAAAAAAAGTTTCACTTTGCACTGCTCAAAAACTTTCCACTCTCCGACTCTTTGATACAGTGCCAAAGATCATACTCTGGGTTATCAACAAATACATCTAGACATCTTAAACTTCAACACTAAGTTATCCCTATGCAAATACATTAGCCATTTGCGCTCTATATTCTCTGAAACCCTAGATAGACAAGCCACAGAAATTAAATTTCATTTGGAATACATGTGGCTGTTGACATGCTTTTTGCTTGCTGTTGCTACAAAGGGATGCATTGCTAAAGCTTCCAGATATTAGTCATTACCTGCCTTTCCATCACTCCTCTGGCCGAAAGAAGGTATACGTTGAACTACTCTCAGTCTTTGTAACCTGCATTTCAATGTTTAAAGTTTAAATAAGGTCAAATGGAGAAAAATCAATCAGGGAATTAATTCCCTAGTTTCTTACTAGTGCCAAATATCCAGGCTCAAGAGAAAAATACTAGAGTTTTTTTCCAAACTACTAAGGAATATTTTGAGTTTATTGTCTCTACCCCTATCATTGTTGTCATTGAATGTTTTAGAGGTTCTGAGATTTCTCGTTTTCTATTGTTTTTAGCCTTTTTAGCTTCAGTATGACAATAAAATTTTTACAGCACTACAAAGGTCATTAAAGTATAATGCAAATTTATCTGAAGTGAAAAAAGGGCCCCTGTATGCAGGCTTAGGACTTCAAAAGAAATTCATTCACCTTTTCTACAAACATGTAAAACTAGAGCTCCATTCAAATCCAAAATTTAAAGACGTTACATATAAAAAAAATATATTAGACAGATTAGAATAATCTACTTCAGTCCAAAATTTTCATTAAATGATGATTTTTTAACATGTGCTTGTGGAACAAAATGTGGTTTTATTCAAAATTTTAATCTCAACAATGCCCTTCTTCACTTAAAAATCTCCATTCTGATTCTAGAATATTTGAAACTATTTCAGCTTTTAAAATCTAAACAATAAATGCATAAGAAGATATCTCAATATGTCTTTAGTAAACAACCTATATATTTCAGTAGTTTTGTATAAACTCAATCCTCTCAAAGAAAGTAGGGCTTTAATAAAAGTTATACCAACCTCAGGATTACGAGAAAGTCCTGTAGGAAGAGGAGGAACAAGAGATGTCCACAGGATGGGATCTACTAAGGGATCAATGGTGTTATAGGCAGTCAGAAGTGGGGCAGACAAGAAAGGAGCTAATGGGAACACATTCTTCTGAAGAGATAATCCCCCAGTCATCCCTATTGCAGGTACTAGTCTCTCGCTCCCACCATCATGACTAGTTGATTTTTCAATTGCCTTGCCATAGTCCATCTTGTTAATTATATTTTTGTTTTCATTCTCATCATTCTCATTGTTGTTTTCATGTTTTTTTAGTGCTTTCTCTTGAAAACTCTTGTAGGCAGCCGATTGTGACAGGATGCTCATAGCAGATTGAGTGGACCCCTTATGATTCTTTCCTTTAAGAGAGGTGCCCAAACGAGGCATCTGGTATGGTTCAGAGCACTGGATAGCCATTTCTGATTTCTTAAGTTCACCGCTGATGTCTTCAGCACAACCATGTTTTGCCTCTTCTGATGATTTTGCAACAGCTTCTGCTTGACGAGCTTTATTCGGCCCCCACCACTTGATGTAGCTTGTTAGATCAATTTTTCTATCGAGACAAAAACCACCCACATATTCACTTTCAGTTGATGGATCATCACCTGTACCTTCAAATGATGCAGAACCATTAAATAGTTGACACTAATTAAAAAAAAGAAGCATCAAATCATTCAAAAGTCTAATTGTTAATGTGTCAGAATCATTCCAACTCAGCAAAATTTCTTTCTTGTAACTTAGTGATAATGATTACTATAAAGTTCTTTTCAATTTGAAAGAAGAATAGAGCTTACCATAATGTACGTTACTGAAGTATTCAGAACCAGCCATTCGAGCAAGTGATGAGTCCCATCGACTACTTTGTAATCGTTAAAAACAACACACAAGCGCAATAACAAACATCAGTACAGAGAAATATAGTATTTTAAGCTGCTATGTGTTTCTTACAAGCATAAAAGTCTTCTTTTTCTGCTAACAACATACCTAGAGAGTCCACGATATTTAGAGATTCCTCTTGAGAAACCACTACTTTTTCTGCAAGGAATATGAAGTGTAAGCAATGCATAATTTCAATTCACGGCAAGCATTCCATACCATGTACACACATTTCAAAAGACATACTCACCTTCGAAGAGATGCAAGGTATTCTTCTCTTGAGACATTCTGCATCTCATCAAGATCTCTTGTATAATCAGTAACCTGTATCACACACTTAAGCATGAAAACTGACCCACATGGGATAGTAGTATGCAACAAAAGTTAATAACTTGCTTGCCCAGGAAGCTAAATTTAGAAAGAACAATCATTTCAATAATAACAGTTAAAAGAAGCATATGCTTTCCTTGGCAAGGCAAGAACTATGAATACCAAGTTTTCAGAAATCCATATGCCAATCATTGTTGATCTAAAACAGACCAAGAAGTGCAATTGGTTTTTCCACAGGCTAGCATTCTCATAACTACAAAGAAATAGTTCCTCAATATTATCTTTTCTGTAGTAAACTCTCAATTAGTTATACTTTGAGAACAAAAAAGGCATAAACATAAAGTGAGCATGAGCCTATTTGTCGTACAAAATGAAGTAGTTCAAAGAAATGATTATCTCACAGGAAAATTAATGAGAGTCCCAGGGCCCCAGTACTTTAAGGCAGCAAGATCGTAAGCCCTAGCCGCCGCCTCCTCGTCATCATATGCCCCTATAAACAGCAATAGTTAATATTTACCACTAAAGCATATGGCCTTGGCAAGTTCAAAATAAGATATATCTTTCTACAACGTACCCAAGTAGACTGCCATAGCGATGCACCGAGAATTTCATGCACAGTAAGAGTAAAGAGTGTTAGTTAATTTTGTGAGTTTTGAAGCATATAGAGTCATTAGTGTCTAAGTAGTTAAAGAGAGACCTTGCTTTCCCTTCTTATTCTGATTCTGGTTCCAGGTACTTTTATCCCAAAGATGAGCTTCATAACGACCAGTCCATCTATGCCTAATGTTCATGAATATCGAAACCATAAGCATTAGTCCAAAATATAAAGGAATCACAAGATATAAAATCAACAGCATAGGCAGAAATATACGCAATCGCAAAAATATGTACTGAAACTAAAGAAATGAAACTCACTCAGTCTCTGAGCCAAAATAGAATTACCATGACATGGCTCAGCGATTTCTAACCACGCCAAACAAACAACTAAAACCTAACAAAAACAACCAGGCATTCAAAATAAGCAAGCAAGACATACTTTAATATCAGCTATGGACTTTGGCTCACAAACATAGATGACTTGTTAAAGGCAGGCATTAACATTTACTACACGATTAGATCTCATACGGCCATGTTACACATCATTTACTTTAACAATTTCTTTTCTAAATTATACTTTTTTTTCTTCTTCTTATTTTAAACAGACTTCTATAATTTTTTACTTTTAATTACTTCAATAAATTCCCTCAAAAAAAAAATAGAGGAAATAATCTTAGCATGTGATAGGCTTCCAAAATGATCAATTTTTCTATCTTTTGAAGCTCGAAAACTTGGTAGACATATTAACCCCCATGCCTTTGAATCAAATTAAGCAACTTTACAACAACCCACTTTAAATAATCACATATTAACAAAACCTATCTCAAAATACCCCAAACCCTTTAACAATTTCACTCACATCCAAAACACAAAAAAAGAAAAATCACTGCAATCATAAATATATATATAAAAAAATTCACCTTGTAACTCCACGATAAATGGAACTCCGTTTACCCGCAGTACAAGGAGGCATTTTACTGATACGTTCTTTCGCAGTACACCCTCTCTCTTTCTTCGCTTTCTTCAATCCTCTATATAGCAACAACTGATCATTAGCAATCACCGCCTCCGAAGTCTCACCGCCACCACCGCCGCCGCCACTACCACCGCCCAGTTCGTGTTTCAAGGCGTGATCTGATGAAGAGGACGCCATAACTAACCCTAATCCTAGGAGAGAGAAAATCAAAGAGACAAAACACACGAAAACACTGTAGCGAGAGAGTGGGACTGAACATAAGCGAAGTGAGGTCCTTTGCGTTTGGTTTCGAACAAGTGTGGAAAACTACAGTTATGAGTGTAAGAGAAGTGACTGAAATGACGAGTATGTCCTCAGCTAGTTTCTTTGAATGACCGTGATGAGTGGGAATTGTAAAAAGGTAAACGGTTATAACGGCTAGGACGGGTTTGAGGATAATTTTGTAACTTAACAGGGTTTGAAAGTTTTGGCAGGACAGGTTCAGAACATGTACCATTGCCACCTGTCCGCTGTTGGGAATAATTTCGTTATATTTATGCTACGTGTCTCTGAACTTGTATTTAAGTAAAAAAAAATATATATATATTATATATTTAATGGGATAAATAATTTTTGCACCAAGCTTTAGAAAAGGGTGAAAAATATAACCCATTAAGTATAATTAAATACTAAAAATTACTTCGAAATTACGGTAATAATACATTTCTCACACTATTAAGTTTTTAGTATTAAAATAAACATGTAAGGTACAAATTAGGGAAGTGTTCATTAATCCCATCATATTATAAATTTTATTAGCACACGAAAAACAGAAAAATTTATATTGATTTTGAAAGCTCAGATAATTTTATTATTTAATTAAACCTCCGAATTGAAAAAAAAAACCCACCTAAATGAACTTACTTATAAAAATATTGAGTGAAGAAATATAATTAGATACAAGTTTATAATGATTAAATATAATTAGCATTTCACCTTGAATTAATGATGATAGATTTAGTAATAATTCGATAAATTACCAAAGATTATACACATAGTTAAGGAGTGGAGAGTAATTTGGCTAAAAATGAAATCATTAAAATGACTTTAAATTAATATTTTATAATAAAAATATATAGAGACAACCAGAAGGATGAATAATGGCCTAGGATTTCATATTCTGGTTGTCTCCATCACCATCTACGGAATCCTAAGAAGAATGTAGAAGTCAATTTTGGAGGCCAGTCCAAGTAATTATTTACTTTTTACTGTACAATAAATAAAATGATGTGGAACATTTGAATCCCGATCCTAACTTATTATTTGAAATGTGCTTTATAGAGCTGGAATAATCTAAACCCTTCTTCACTGACAATTAATTAACAATCTCAACTTTGAAGCACTGTTTTAAAAACCGAACCATTGAGAAATCGGATATAATATCCGGGTCTCTGGTTGACCGGTCCAACTGTTTAGACTGTCAGTTGGGCCGATCAACATTTAACTTTTGGTTTGACACCCTGAGCTTCTAGATATTGATGTTAAAAAGACAAGAGATCAATCCCATTAAAATGCGGGACTGCTGCCCTTTCATTCGCTTGAGCATCACATCTTTTGCTTCATTAATTTTAAATGCAAGGTAATGGCTACCACTTACTCTCGACGTCGCAACCATCACCCTCTGATGTCCTTCTTTGACCTTTTTTTTTTCGGTTACTAGTAATCATATAAAAAAATAAAATAAAATAAAGAATACACAAAAAAACAGCCCACTCCTTAACAAAACAAACTAGAGAGACAAAACAAGCCCTTACCAAAGCCAGAGCTCAAAAATCTGCCCAAAGCCCAAAGGGCACCCACCCAAACAAGAGAAACAACCTCCCAAATCTGCTAAAAAGAAACCAACCCAACACCAAAGCAGCCAGCAGCAGCGCACCAGCAAAAAGAGACCACCCAACAGATGGTTGAAGCCCAATAGCAGCGCACCAAAAGGGAAAAAGAAAATAACTCCGCAACGACGCACCTAGCAAGGGGACAGAAATAACCACCAGAACCCAAAAGCACCAGCTTTACAACAAAACCAGTAAAGAAGATGAAGAGAATCAATCTCCCAAGTTTCCCTCATTGTTGTTGAAGTTGAAGTTAAAGAAGATGAAGAAGATTCAACGATTGGAGATGCAATTGGAAGTTAAAAGCTCTGTTTTAAAAACCGGACCAGACCGGCTGGTCGAACCCATCCGATCGAGACCTGGCAGCTTCTTCGGTCCGGTTCAGGTCTTAAGGGGGTTTTGTAATATTTCAAAATTATAAGGGTTAATTAAATTTTATAAGGGTGTTTTAGAGATATGTAAAAAATTTAGGGATATTAATTGTAATTTTTTGAGATATTTTTGAAATAAATAAAAATTTTAGAGACTAATGTAAACTTTTTAAGGGAATTTTTGTAATATATTAAAATTTGAAGGATTAATAATAATTTTTTAAAAATAAAATTGTCACCAACGTCATCAGTCCAACCGGTTGGACCGATTGACCCATGACCCGGGCGACAAAACAGGTTACCCTTCAATCCGGGTTTTAAAACAATAGTTAAAAGAAGATGAAGAGAATCTCCCATGTTTTGTTGTTGTGACTAGCCCGACTGAAACTTAGAAAAGAAACGGAGAATGAAAGGAATGAGGATTAGGTTTTTTTTAAGGGCTCAAATAGTGAACCAAATTAAGCTTTGGGCTAGTTGGATCAGCCGGTTTGTACTATTTAACCGGTCCATTAATGGCTAGAAGCGGTTTTTTGATTATTACCGGTTTTAATATTAACCCGGACTGGAGTTGAACCTAGGTTCCAATCGAACCGACCGGTCCGGTCCAGGTTTTAAAACAGTGCTTTGAAGCTAGGTTTGTTTTCTGAACAAGTAGTTCAAGTATTTCCCACAGCTCTTAAATCTAACTCTTCTTTTGATCATATACAAATTACAAAAGAAATTCAAAAAAAAAAAAAAATGAAACTGTAGAAAATGAAACTTGGATAATATAATACAATTGTGGGTATAATCTTTCTAACAAATCAGAAATAAAAATTACATGTAACTGGTATCAGCTACTCTTGCAGATTGAGCCTTACTATTATTCTATTGTTCAGCTGCGATGGTGGAAGGAGTGTGACAAACAGATTCTCGGCTAAAGTCTCCTTCTCCAGATATCCTTTTCAACGATTCTCCATAATTTCAAGGAAAGTAATGTTAGTCGTGATTTTATCTTTTTCATTTAAATCACAAATGCTCTCTTGGCAACACAGTCATTCATCTCAGAAGTTGAAATTGTGGTTTTCCTGGATTTAAGACACTCTTCTACATGAATTTTGGGTTGTACAACCAGGGTCGAACGTAAAGTTTTTACATGGAGATGTGTAATGTTGTTCATCAATGGACAGTGACATACAAACATGAGGAATTATTTTCATGTAAATTATACACTAAAGTTTTGTACAAAATCTTGTCTCCAAAAAACTCACTAAAGTTTTGTATAAAATCCACTTTTATGTTCAAATAAACACCCCAATTGTAAGGAAAAAAAGAAAAGAAATTCATCAGAAATTAGGGCACTGGGGGAGGACAGGGTAGTCAGGATGTCTCACATCAATAGGGCAAACAGAACACTTAACACCAAAATTATATGATTCTACTGCAAGAAATAAATTATAAGCTTACCAACTCTTTCTTGAATGATAGATGCATATTCCATCCCACCGCTTTTTTGTGCAAAAGACAATATATCACGAAACATTCCATGAGAAGGTTTGATTCCAGCATCCTCCATCCATTGCAGGACCTGCATAAAAGATTAGCTCAGGTTTTCAAGGCACAATTTTCATCTAAGCATGTAAGTACATCCAGAAAGAAATGACATCAGAACTTGCGTGGCAATATCCTCAAGCTCCATCAGCCACGGAAACAAACAAAATAAAATGTATTTTTCTTTCTTTATTTATTTATTTTTGATTAAAAGGAGCAGTATGCTTCACTTTTGTATAGTTTGCAATAAATTTTAATAAGTACTTTCCCATTTGCATGTTTATGATGAACATGGCACAGAAAGGAATACTTTTATAATAGATATAATGTAATAGTCTTCAAAAACATAATCAAGCAAATTCCATATTAAAGCTTCATATTAAGTTTAAAGCAATTGTGCTTTAAAAAATTCATTGTTAACAATATAATTATGAAACTAAAGCAACAAAAAACCAAAAATAGTCATCTCCTTTTCACTTACAAGGATTGAACTGACTAATTGAATTTTGAAAAGAATTATCAATTTAATTGCTGAAAATGCATTACTTCCAACTACTGCAGTAAGGCATACAGATACACGCAGCCTTCCTTTATTTAATTAAAGACATCTAACGATGCAATCAGCATGTTAGTTGTCCTACTAGAAAGATAAATTCATACTATTTACGGCATTAACTTCCCCCACCCACCAAAAATAAAAAAAGATAAATAATAGCTATAATAAAAAATAAAAAGTTACCTCAATGTATTTCCTCCAATTTCCAGCAGCCAAAAGATTTTTCAACAAAATGGAATAAGTATTGAAGTTGACTTCACAACCTGATGCTACCATCTTAAAGAATAACTGCATGGTAAAAAGAAAAAAAATACTGTTGAACACAATTAGAATTTGAAATGTATTAACAAACGTTGTTCTAAACTTAATCACACCAATTCCTGTTCTTAAGGGTCTTATCTCACTCTTGATGCAAACCCAAGCATAGGTGTGAGTTGTTAAGACCATTGGTTCAACCAAAGAAGTCACGGGTTCAAATCTCTTAGTGCCAACAACTTGGAAAACAGTTATAAGCTAACTACCTCAGTCGGAGAGTTTGGAAAATCATGAACGAGGAAAGCTTAATGCTAAAATGATATTCTCCAACAGCACAGAGCAAAGAAAGAAAAATCAATTATCTTGAACTTGTTATAAAAAAAAATTTAAGTACCTTCATCATAGACTCAATTTTCCCACTTTTTCCAAGGAGATGCAAAAGCTGATTCATAAGTCCAATTGAAGCTACAGGGAGTGATGGTTCCATCAGTTTGATCAGGTCAATTGTTGTCCTCCAATCTCGTAATCTACAGCCAAAGTTCACAGGTTAGTTTCCAAGCAGACAACAGACATTGACTCACTAATCAGTACCATAAAAGCAGAACTACATGAGAGCACATGAAATTAGAATCAATATCGGAGGAGAATTTAATAATGGATAATTTCTTATCATGAGGCACATATAATTGAAAACAATTCAGAGCTACCTCTATCCATGCAAGAAATTATGATAGAAGAACTGGAAACAAATGAAGCAAAGATACTATGTTCTTTGCATATATGACACTATTAGCAGCTGATACTGTGTTAGGTCCCTCTTTTGTGATTAGTGTTATCTATGGTTTAAGCATCGATAAAATATCCAGTCTCAATGTATTTATCCACATGAGTACCCTCCAAATATTGAAGACTGTTTATAATGTATTTCTTCAGAGAAAAGTCCAGCAAGGATGTACAAAATTATTAAATCTAAGAGCAAACACTTTTAAAAAAGATGAGAGAAATAGAAAAACTAACACATTCTTGCTCATACATACACGGTTAGATATATATAAAATTTATGAAACTTACATGCTACAAGCTGATACCATTTCAAATAATATAGCCTCACTAAAGGGGATTTCTTTTTCTCTCATAAACTCAGCCAGAACAAGAACCTTGGATGGTTGGCCTCCTTTATTAAAAGCTCTCATCAGTGCAGAACACGCAACAGAATCTGGTTGGATGTCAGTTGTTTCCATTTCAAGAAATAGTGCACATGCCTTTTCCCAATCCCCTGAAATTAAAAAGGAGAGAAATAAAAAATTCAGGATAGAAGTTATCTTATTTGAGTCGGTTGATCAAGATAGTGGCTTCACATACAAACTCACCTGCAGCATTATATGCATGTACCATTGCAGTATAGGTAATAACATCAGGAAAACAACCAGACATCTTCATCTTGTTAAACATGGACTCTGCTTCTGTGACTTGACCCTAGATTTTGACATTAAAGAGAAAGAGAAAGAGCAAAAAAAGAAATCAGATTTCCTTATGTCACATGAATGCAAATTAAGAAGAACATCTTGCCAAAGCTCTTGCCTGTTTGCTGTACGCACAAATCACTGATGAATACACCTGTTTGGTCAAAGGTACTTTTAAATCTATCATCTCATCAAGAAATGCAACTGCCTCACCATATCTGGACAATTTATAGCAATTACTTATCAAGACAGTATAGGTAACAGAATCAGGCATCACTTTTTGTTTTTTCATAGATTTGTATAAGGCTATAGCCTTCTCATACCCCCCAACATTCATATAGCTTCCAATAGCTGAATTATATGCAACTGTATTCAATTTGATGCCTCGCATCTCAGCTGCTGAAAGTACAGCATCAATATTCACTTTTTGACCACTTCGACCACAGGCAGCCAAGAGGGTGCATATTGAAACAACATTTGGTTGAATACCATCTTGCTCCATTTCACGAAATACTTCCACAGCTTCAGCTAACAACCCACAAGACCCATAAGCATCAATCAGTGCACTATAACTAACAAGATTTGGCTTCAAATTGTTTTTCTTTATCAAGTCAAACACTTCTCTAGCCTTCCTGGGTTGTTGTGACCTTCCATAAGAATTGAGTAAAGATGTATAAGATACAATATCGGGGCGAAAACCATTTCTCTTCATCTCATTAAAAACTGATAATGCCTCTTCACTCATTCCATGTGAAGCATATGCACCCAGCAGAGCATTATATGAAACAATATTTGGTTTTAAGCCTTCTGCAAGGATTGTACTGAAGACAGCCTTACAATTTTCAATTTGCCCACTCGCAGAATACAAATGAATGATGGTGGTGAATGTCACAATGTCAGGGTGACATTCTGATCTCTTCTCCCTCATGGAATTGAAGAAACCAATAGCTTTATCATACTGTCCAAGCTTTACTAGGCAATATATCACAATATTATGTGTGGTTGTATCAGGACGAATGTGTGTGCCTTTCATTAGTTCAAAGTAAGACAAAGCTTTTGAATATTGAGCCCCGCTCTTGTATGCTGACAAAACAATGTTGTGAGTCACCAGATCAGGCCCAACTCCATTTTCCGTCATTTTCTTGCAAACTTTGAGGGCTTCTCTCCAATTTCCACTAGATCCACAAGCATTGATCAAGTTGTTATAGGTTGATCGACTAGGAGGGATCTGCATACAAATATTAAGGCACAGATATATCTTATAGAAACAACATATAATGCCTAAGAAAATATTATAAATAAATAGAGAAATCAATGATGCCATATGCTGAAGAATTAGTTTTTCAGCAAAATGAGTACACATAAAGTTAAAACATTCATATTATTAATGATAAAATTGTATTCATATAGTTATTAAGTGATAAATATTATCATTAAAGTACACCACGATATGTAACTAAGATTGATTCTAGAAAAATATAAGATTACTATTAATTAGTCAATGATGTGGTTGAAGTTGAAATCAAAGCTTTTAAAACCAAGTAACAGGCTGAAGAGATGGACAAGGATACATTTGCAGCACCTACTATAACATCAACTAGCACACAGCAGTAATCCACATCAGTTCTAATTACTAATCTTATATATGGCATCCCAAGGTAAGATAGTTCAAATATAAAGTTCACTTTGTATCACAGTATTGCAAAAGAAAAGCAAATAAATCAAGAAAGAAGAGCAATTGTGTTGGATAAGTGCCTTCAAAGAGAATACAACAAAGATATATTGAAGATAAGAATTAAGGTTTTAGAAACATATTTTCCAGGAAGGAGCCAGAATCTTCAAAATAAAGGGATCAATCATACAGATTTTTCAGGTAATTCCATAACAATCTACAAACACAAACTGAGAATCTCCAAGCTCATCAATAAAAAATCATGCAAGATACATCTTCTAGTTAAGTGTTGGAAAAAGACCACTGCACACCATACCATTTTTATAAAACAGATATAATCCAGAAATTATAACAGCTGCAATAATCACTACGTAATGACAAAGGTGCCAGGCAATCTCCAATTTTTTTTTTGCACATGCTATTTGTGACATGAAAAGATAAAGAAGGAAGCTCACATCAAGTCAGATCCACAAAGATTGATTAGGAAAGGAAAATAAGAATACACACAGCAGCACGCAACATATCATCAAAGATATTCATCGCCCAACGCCATTGACCAGTCCGACCATGTGCATTGATAAGGGCATTGTATGTTTCACCATTGGGCTTGCACCTAGCAGGAGAATAAAAAAAAGGGAATAAATATATCAACAGATAAACCAAGATTATTTTGGGACACACAAGCTATCAAACATTCCAACTTAAGAAGAATCCTTTCCATCAGGTTTCAGAAATCATATTAAGTCACCAAGAAAAGAAGCTTAATATCAGACTAAAACATTAACACCAAGTTCAACATACTATAGCTACATCCATCAGTCCCAGATATCAGTTACTAGCTTTCATATACCTTGTAAATTATAAAACATGGTCCAAAAGTAATTAGCATACCTCCACTCTTGCATCTCAAAAAACAATCCTCGTGCCTTATCTGTCCGATTATGTCTAGCATGCAACCTGATCATCATATTATAGATATCATTTCGCGCACAATAGTTCTTCTGATTTTTCATCCAATTGAAAACTTGAACGCTATGTTCGATGGCACCCCTTTGTGTTAGCTCCTATTACAAGCAAAAGACACAACAAGAGAAACTCAGTCACTTGCTACAACTTCAGTAAGGGGGAAAATTTAAAAAAAAAAAAAAAAAAATTCTATCTTTACAACACAATTCTTTAGCCAGTACCTTGCACAGAATACCTTACAAGAATCTGCATATATTTTATAGCAAAAATGCAGAAACAGTATAACATGAATTGTTCCAAACTTTAAAAATACTTAAGCTTAAGATCAAATTTTCATCACAAGGATAAGTCAGGTACTGGGATAAAAATCCCAGTAACATTACCGTGCAATCAAATTTTTTTAACATCCCATCTCAAAACTTATAAAAATATGAATTAGACCGCAATTTCGATATCGTTAAATGTTTATTTTGAGCCAAGCAGAAAATCAAAGATTATCCAAGCAATTTGTTTCCAGTAACATTGTCCTGCAAGATTAGCTCTTCCCAAGCTTAATTTGAAGATAGGGATCATTGCATTCAATAAAAAAAGTACCCTTAGAAAATATAACAGTGATGCACTGAACTTTGGTACCTTAATGAGAAAAGGGAAGTTCTTTCTGGCGAACCGGCCGACCCACCGGTTCAAAACACCTTCAACATCTTCCCAATGATTGAGCTCCAACACTTTCTCAACCACTCGAGACACTGTCCAGTCCTTCTGGAACCTGTCGCTTTCAACTCTTAGACGGTACCGTTTGGGTATGTCGGATTTTCTAAGTCCGCTCACTCGAGTGTAGACCTCGTGTTGGCCTCTGTCGTAGTCCACGAAACCTGACTTTGACTCCTCGAAGGGCGCGGGGGAGTCGGGTTTCTTCTTGCAGTGGACTGTAAAGGGTTTGGATGAGTTGGGGTGAGCTGAGTCGGGCGAGTGGGTGAGTGTAAAGAGAGGGGAGTGGTGGTTTACAATTGCCATTTGGGGAGAATGTTGAGAGAGTAGTGAGTGGATAATGTTAAACCTCCATTTTTGCAGGGTTTTGTAACTCTCATCTGTTAAATTCACAAACTAAAAACAAATAACTGAACGCATCTACTACTCATCCGAACGGGTTAAATTTAACCGCACCCAGATATTGGAAACCATCGAGCTACACAGTGTGATAATAAAAAACTAGTGTACCCCTCCAGGGGTGAGCATGGATAACAAGTAGAACCGAAATTTATGGATAGAATCAAAATCAGAATCAAAATTTATTTGAAACTGATACTATATTGGTAGATTCCGGTTCTCTTTTTTTTGGAATCGATACTATACAGTTCCGATTCTAGTTTCTACATGTGGATAGAAGTGGAAATTTTGGGTCGGGTTAGGCGGGTCAACCCTAACCCAGCCCCAAAAAAATGTAGATTAAACCTGGCAGCAACCCCCGGGCGGGCCGGGTTGTACAATGGCAACCCGTAACCCAATGGGTTACTATTTTGTCTCTTTTGCAAGAGACCCGGCAACCCGCCGAGTTGGTTATGTGCAACCCGGCAGGTTGTATGTTACAACCCACTTGGCCGAAAAAAATAAAAAAATAAAAATTTTTATTTTATTTTTCAAATTACCCCTTTACCCTTGAAATATAACCGTTGGAGGGGTCTTTTTCATCATTTTTCTTTCCCATTTTTTCCTATAAATTGGCCCTAAATTCTCACATTTTTCTCACAACTCAAATTCTCTCATTTCTCCTCATATCTCTAATCTCTATCTCTCAAGTCTCAATTATTCATTTTATTAGTTTTTGCAATTTGCTCATATTTTAATTTTTATTAGTTTTTGCAATTTTTAATCATATTTCCATTTTCCAATTTCCTACTCCAATTCTCTTTCTTTAATTTTTATTTCTTCTACATCATTTTTTTTTCAACTACAATGATAGATATTTCTCTCCCATCAATTACAATGATGACGAGGCAATTTATTGTAATTTCTTATTTTATTTTTAATAAATGAATAATTTAATTATTCTTATATTACAATTTTAATGTATTAAATTGAATTAATATTTGGAAGTTAACAAAAAAAAATTAATTTAATTTAATTATTGATATTTGAAAGAAATTAACAATTAACTAAAACAATTATATTTATAATTGTAACTTTCATTGAAAAGTTAATTAAACATTTAAACTTAAATAAAATAAAACAAAAACAAAATAAAAAAAAAGTCAAAAAACGGGTTAACCCGGCCCAACCCGCACCTAACCTGGGTTAGTTGACGGTCCGGGTTGGGCCACCAATTCTCTAATGTTGGCGGGCCTAACCCGCCCGCCAACGTCGCCAGGCGGGTCAAACCGACCCCATTTGCAGCAACCCGCCCGCGGCTGGTTGGTCGGGCCGGGCGGGTTGCTTTTCCACCTTTCATGTGGAGAAACAAGAACCTAAAAAAAAGAAGCTACAGCAGCCCTCTTGGAACCTTCAACGAGTACCTTGTTTTGACCTGGGATCCGTGAGAGGTGTTATATATTTTACATATAAATTAAAATGAAAAATTAAATTTTTACAATAACCTAATTAAAAATATATAATTTACTTATTAATATAAATAACACTATAAAAAAATTTAATATATTATATTAAATTTTATTAATTAAATGTATAATTAATTAAGACCAATTAAAAGTATTTTAATGTTATTAAAAATTATTTTTAAAAATATATATTATATAAATATTATTTAGTTATTTACTTCAATTATCAAATTCTAAATATATATGTAGAATTAGTATTAATTAATTATATAAAATAAATTGATAAACATTAATATATTACTAATTAATGTTATTTAATCAATTATAATGTTACATTATATTAAATGATTACTTAATTAATTATAAGTTTATAACTTATTAATAATTTAGTACATTACTTAATTAAATATTAAAAATTTAATTAATTATCAAATTACTTAAAACAATATTACTTAATTAATTATAACATTTCATTATAAACATTAGTACAATACTTAATTAAATGATTAAAAATTTAATTAATTATAATATTATATTAAAGATTTATAGTATGATTACTTAATTCATTATAATATTACATTATAGTATAATCACACAATTAATTATAACATTATATAATTAAATGATTACTTAATTAATTATGATATTATATTGTAAACATTAGTAATTTACTACATTAGCACAATATTTAATTAAATGATTAGAAATTTAATTAATTATAACATTACAAATAGTATGATTACTTAATTAATTATAACATTACGTTATAAACAAATTATTACTTAATTAATTATAATATTTTTTATAAACATTAGTACAATACTTAATTAAATGATTATAAATTTAATTAATTATAATATTATATTAAAGATTTATAATATGATTATTCAATCTATTACTCCATCCGTTTCTCTTTAAAAATCGTTTTAAGTTATTGCACGTATTTTAATAAATTAATTTTTTAATGTAAAATTTTTTTCTCTTTGCTCCTTCCTCTAAAAGTGCGTGGGAAATGACAATGATGATTGATGGAAAATAAATGGCTTTTAAAGAGAAAGAGAAAGAGAGAGAGAGAGAGAGAGAGGAGATGAGGGGTGAGGGAAAGAGAGAGAGGGTTGCATTTGGCTAGGGAAAATGATAGAGTTACTGAAAGTTACACACCGAATTTGTTCACCGAATGACATGGCAAAATCCTGATCGTTGATTAATATTAACTTATAATAAATCAACGGTCAGGATTTCGTCACGTCATTCAGTGCACACCCTTCGATAACTGTAGCATTACTCTTTGGCCAAACGACATTTATTTTGGAAAAAATTTATAAGACTAAAATGACTTTTAAAGAGAAACGGAGGGAGTATAACATTACATTATAGTATGATCACATAATTAATTATAACATTATATAATGAAATGATTACTTAATTAATTATGACATTATATTATAAACATTAGTACTTTACTACATCAACACAATACCTAATCAAATGATTAGAAATTTAATTAATTATAGCATTACATTATAAATTTATAGTATGATTAGTTAATTAAAAACACTCTATTATAAACATTAGTACAATACTTAATTAAATGATTAGAAATTTAATTAATTATAATTAAATAATTACTTAATTAATAATAACATTACATTATAGATTTATAGTATGATTAATTAATTAATTATAATATTCTATTATAAACATTAGTATAATACTTAATTAAATGATTAGAAATTTAATTAATTATAATATTAAATTATAGATTTATAGTATGATTGTTTAATTAATTTGATTAATTGTTTTGGTTTTAGTTTTGATTGAAGAATTATGTGAATTGTGATGATTGATTAAATTCAAGTGTTGTTTGATTAGAGGATTTTGAGTCACATTGGACACAAATGAATGAGTAATCAAATTTGTTAGGGTGTATTTGTAAACTTTTAAGGTATTTATCATTTTTTAAACTATAGGGGGTAATTTTTTTTACAGGGTACCCGGAAAGGAACCGAACCTGTATTAGTTTCGATTCCTTGAATTTAGAACCTGCACTGTGCGGTTCCAATACCAATTCCTTTTTTTGGGAACCTGCACTGTACGGTTCTGGTTTCGATTCCCTCGAAAATACAAGGTCCCCGAAACCGCTCATCCCTACCCCCTTCACCCCTTGTTATAAAAATTTCCTTAAACTTCACTGAAGGACATAATGGTCTTTAAACTTAACTGGTTTTTTTATCACAGGGGTCTGTTTGCTGGTTTTGAAACCTTCAGGGGATAGTCATAGCACTGATAGCAGGGGTCTGCTTAAGAGTTTTCAAATTTATGAGGTCTTTCAATGTATAGGGTCTCTTTTGTTATTTTTGAAGCTCATAACAGTCAAGGATAATAAGGTCATTTAAATCTATTCAGTTGACTTCATTGGCTGGCGTCTTATGACAAGAGAGTGTTCAATTGTTTTTAATCATCTATTCATCCCACAACCGCTTCATCGTTTTAGTCTCTTAGGAGGGTGGTTGAAATTAACCCCATCCAAAAGTTATACCAAACCAATAGTATTTTATTTACAACCAAACAAAAATTATACAAAATCAATATAAAATAATTATTTTATCTTTTATTTTTTATCGGATTGTATGACTCGGTTATAAGTATAATATTACTCATACCAAACATCTCATCCTAAATGATGTGTAATCTTCACGATGTTGACACATCAGTGAATTGGTAATTTGATGAATGGTAAGTCAATAATGTATAACATTACTTTACTAAAAAATTAAACCTTCTTTACCTAAAAATTTCCTTTACACAACATAACCTGAAATTATAAAAGAATATTTATGCATAGATGATCTTCTGAACTAGATGGAGAGATAAATGCAGATGGTGATTTTGTAGTTTTATTATATAGGATATTTAAGTAATTTCATTTTTTAAATTAGTATAATAAACTCTATGAGTTTGTAAGTATATACAGAGCTAACTCAATGATCTCAATTTCTTAAAATGTTGGTATTTTATTTAAAAGATAAATTTAGATATAAAACTTAGTGATATACCACTTATACTTTCAATGAAACATGTTCTCTGCTCTATAGTATTAGATTATGTAACACTCAATCTAGTATCTAACAATAGTGTTTAAGAGTCTAATTAAAGCATGTTAGAATTAACAATTCAGCACATTTTGATTATTTTTATTCTTATAATTTTTATTGAGGTAATTAGGTTAAATCACTAAATTTTATGACTAAATATGTTTTTAAATAAAACTCGCACATTTTGAGAATTAAAATCAGTAGGTGGGGTTTGTTTTTTATCTGAAAAGTGAGTATAACTTAATTGGTTTAAAAACTGAACAGATCTGAATAATTAAATCCGAATCTATATTTGTCTTTTAACTTTTTAGAGTCTGGTTACAAGTGGTTTGTCATGTATTCTACATAAAAATATCTTTAAATTATCATTTTAACATACATACCCCTTTGATATTAGATAATATATTAATTAAAATAACACTTTAAGTTTTATTAATTTAAACAATGCAAGAACTAATAAATTGACAAATATGAAAACATAAACTTTGGAGTTTGGAGATGTGAAAAATATATAAAAACTTGAAAAGTTAAAAAGACCAAGGGATCTTATGTTCAAGTTGCAGCAAGAGCAAGAGGCGGCCATCAATTATCATACCAAGTATATATATAAGCAAAAAATGTTGGGGTATAAAAAGATAATTGAAAAAGGTTACGTAAATGGGTAGAGATGTAATTATAAATAATATATTAGGATAATAATGTCAACTCACGCAAGACAAATTGTTCATGTAACTATCCATAAAGTCATGGGTAAAAAAATTAACTTTTTTAATTCATTGAATTTTTGGGAAAAGAAAGTATTAAGTTGTAAAACAAACACACAAAAAAGACAAAAAAATAAAAATTAAGTTAGAAAAAAACAGACAGAATGGTTATAGTCTAATAGTAGAGAAATCTACCTCTTCCTTTGGCACTTTCAACTTTCTTTCTTAGGAGTTCTTTTTATAATGGTTTTGGGGGATTGTTAATTGGAATAGTTTTAAGGCGTTTTAAAGCTATTATTTGTTAGATGTTTTATGCATTAGTTTTAACTAGTTTCAAAAACAGTATAATGTATTTTTTACGGGTTTATAAAACTCAAAACTCTCCAAATCGGAGTGTTTTAATTGGTTTTAAAATTTTATTCCATAAATACTATATTCATTACGGGGCTATTCTAATTATATCAAAAAATCACATGAACCTGTATTTTTGTACTAATTTATTAATATTTTTATACCATATTCAATATAAAATAATTTTAAACATTCATTAAAAAAAAATTTATTAAAATCTCATTTGTTAAAATCTAATTTGTAGATGTTTCCCTGGAAGCGTGGAGTCACAATTTTTGGATCGTTCCAATGCTGCAAAGATTTTGTCTACTTACATTTTAGGTCAAGATTTAACAGAAATGCCTCCAAAATTTCAACCTAATTCCATTATCTGTCGACGATGCCCAATGACTTTCAAAAATTCCAAGAAACCAAACTTCTAATGGTGCGGTGCGGAGCTCTTTGTAAAATCAGCCCTGCAGGTACACTTTCTTATTATACCATCTTCATTTCTTCTAATATTTTAGAGTCCAGTTTAGTATTCAGCACAAATTCGCTCTTCCGTTCATATTAAACAGCCCATTAAAACTTTAGAATTTTGTTATGTAAATCATCAATTCTTTCACTTCATATTAATGGGTTTAATTTAATTCAACTTGTTGATAGGTTATATGGTCTCGTTTTTGAGGAGATTCAAGCGTTCACAAAAGGTAGATAAGAATGAATTTATCATAAAGAATGGAAAAATTTTACTCCAAAAGTTGATTGCCTGTAGTAATGGCAAACGTAATCCTATTTTTTCTTACTCTTGTCGAGAGCTCAGCATAGCAACCAACCATTATGATAGAAGACAAGTTATTACAACTGGTGCAGGCTATAGATTGTATAAGGGTTTTCTGCATGATCGCGCGATTTCTGTTATGAATTTTGAAGACTTTGATTATGCCAAAGAGTTTTGTTTTAATAATATTGTATTTGCTTCACAAATGTGTCACAAAAATTTGTTAAGGTTGAGTGGATGTTGTTTGGATAATCGAACTCCTATTCTGGTTTTTGAATTTGTCGAGTATGGGACCCTTTCTGATCATATTTACCAATCCCATTTTGAGCCATTACAATTAAGAGATAGGTTAAAGATTGCAATGGAGATAGCTAATGCAATTGCATATCTCCATGTTGGATTTGCTAGGCCCATTCTTTTTAGAGATATCGAACCATTGAAAATTTTATTTGATGAAAACAAGGTTCCCAAATTGTTTAATTTTTCGCTATGTGAGTCTATCCCTGAAGATGAAACTCATATAAGAGGTGAGTTGGCAGGGACAATGGGATTTGTTGCACCAGAGTATATTACTACAAATGATTGCAATGAGAAGTGTAATGTTTATAGTTTTGGTGTATCGCTACTTGTACTTTTGACTGGACAGAGAGTATTTTATCCTTCTGAAGATCCTAATGCTGGAGGTGAAGATTTTTATTTATCGGATCATGTGAAGAAGTATTTCGAAAATGATAGGCTTATTGAGATAGTAGATCCAATAATTGTTGGAGAGGAACTGAGTCCTGTAAAAGAGCAGCAATTATAAGCTTTCACAGAATTTGCCCTTAAATGCGTCTCTGAATCAGCAGAAGATAGACCAACAATGGTTGATATAGCGAAACAAATCAGGACAATGTATCGTTCCAGTTAAAGATATTTTAGTTTTAGATATATAATTTCATGAATGGTGGAGCCTCCGTTTATGAATCTTTCCTCTAGTATCCTGTTTGGACTTCATCTTGTTGTTTCTTATAGCAAGAGCTGCATATGTTTTATGTCAAGAGAATTTTGTTCAATTTACAACATATGTGTGACTGTGAGCTACGTCATCTACTTTATTGTGATTAACTCATGATAACTGTTCCTCAGAAAACTAATTTAGCAATCAATGTATGCCTCTTTCTTAAGTGGGTTTTTTTTCTCACTTGAGCCGTTGAGCGAACAAATACACTGAAAATCAAATCCTATCAACCTGGTCTAACTTCGTTTGATAAGTTATTTGGTATGTTTGTCTTGCTTGTCTTGTAGTTTCTTGGAGGGTACAGAGGATCTTTATGTATTAATTAGTTGCTGTAATTTCTGGTTTTGATCTTCCATTATATTTTAAGAAACTAATGAGTCTGCTCCTTTCTTGGTAGTCAATTGCTTCATGTTTGCAGTTTCCATAAACTAATAGGGGGTAATTTTTTTACAGGGTACCGGGAAAGGAACCGGAACCTGTATTTTGGTTTCGATTCCTGAATTTAAGAACCTGCACTGTGCGGTTCCAATACCAATTCCTTTTTTTGGGAACCTGCACGTACGGTCTGGTTTCGATTCCCCGAAAAATACAGGTACCCGAAACCGCTCATCCTACCCCTTCACCCTTGTTATAAAAATTTCCTTAAACTTCACTGAAGGACATAATGGTCTTTAAACTTAACTGGTTTTTTATCACAGGGGTCTGTTTGCTGGTTTGAAACCTTCAGGGGATAGTCATAGCACTGATAGCAGGGGTCGCAAGAGTTTTCAAATTTATGAGGTCTCAATGTATAGGGTCTCTTTGTGTATTTTTGAAGCTCATAACAGTCAAGGATAATAGGTCATTTAATCTATTCAGTTGACTTCATTGGCTGGCGTCTTATGACAAGAGAGTGTTCAATTGTTTTTAATCATCTATTCATCCACAACCGCTTCATCGTTTTAGTCTCTTAGGAGGGCCGTTGAAATTAACCCCGTTCCAAAAAGATACCAAATCAATAGTATTTCTTTACAATGATATAATCAAACAAAAATATATAAAATTATTATTTATCTTTTATTTTTGTTGATTATATAACTTATTATAAATATAATATTCTCATACATCTCTACCAAATGATGTGTAATCTTCACGATGTTGACACATCAGTGAATTGGTAATTGATGAATGGTAAGTCAATAATGTATAACATTACTTTACTAAAAAATTAAACCTTCTTTACCTTACGCAACATAACCTGAAATGTAAAAGAATATTATGCATAGATGATCTTCTAACTTGATGGTGATTTTGTAGTTTTATTATATAGGATATTTAAGTAATTCATTTTTAAATTAGAATAAACTCTATGAGTGTAAGATATACAGAGCTAACTCAATGATCTCAATTTCTTAAATGTTGGTATTTATTTAAAAGATAAATTTAGATATAAAACTTAGTGATATACCACTATACTTTCAATGAAACATGTTCTCTGCTCTATAGTATTAGATTATGAACACTCAATCTAGTATCTAACAATAGTGGTTAAGTGTTATGTTAGAATTAATAATTCAGCACATTTTGATTATTTTATTGAGGTAATAGGTTAAATCACTAAATTTATGCTAAATATGTTTTTAAATAAAACTCGCAATTTTGAGAATTAAAAGCAGTAGATGGTGTTTGTTTTTTTTTATGAAAACTGAATATAACTTAATTGGTTTAAAAATTGAACAGATTTGAATAATTAAATCGAATGATATTTGTTTTTTAACTTTTTATAGTCTGGTTACAAGTGGTTTGTATGTTATTCTACATAAAAATATCTTTAATTATCATTTTAACATACATACCCCTTTGATATTAGATAATATATAATTAAATAACACTTAAGTTTATTAATTAAAACATGCAAGAACTAATAAATTGACCAATATGAAAACATAAACTTTATAGATGTGAAAATATATAAAAACCTGAGAAGTTAAAAAGACCAAGGGATCTGAGGTTTAAGTGTAGCAAGACCAGAGGTGGCCACCAATTTCATTACAAAATAATATGTATATATAAGCAAAAAATGTTGGGATATAAAAAGATAATTGAAAAAGGTTATGTAAATGGGTAGAGATGTAATTATAAATAATATGTTAGGATAATAATGTCAACTCAAGTAAGACAAATTGTTCATGTAACTATCCATAAAGTGAAAAGGTCACATTATAAACATTAGTACAATACTTAATTAAATGATTAAAAAATTAATTAATTATAATATTATATTAAAAAATTTATAGTATGATTACTTAATTGATTATAATATTACATTATAGTATAATCATACAATTAATTATAACATTATATAATTAAATGATTACTTAATTAATTATGATATTATATTGTAAACATTAGTAATTTACTACATTAGCACAATATTTAATTAAATGATTATAAATTTAATTTATTATAACATTACAAGTAGTATGATTACTTAATTAATTATAACATTCCATTATAAACATTATTACAATACTTAATTAAATGATTAGAAATTTAATTAATTATAATATTATATTAAAGATTTATAGTAGGATTACTTAATCTATTACTCCATCCGTTTCTCTTTAAAAATCGTTTTAAGTCATTGCAAGTTTTTTAATAAATTAATTTTTTTATGTAAATTTTTTTTCTCTTTGCTCTTCCTCTGAAAGTGCGTGGGAAATGACAATGGTGATTGATAGAAAATAAATGGATTTTAAAGAGAGAGAGAGAGAGAGGAGACGAGGGGTGAGGGAAAGAGGGAGAGGAGACAGGGGCATACTTCGAGAAAGAGAGAGAGGGTTGCATTTGACCAAGGAAAATGATAGAGTTACCGAAAGTTACACATCGAATCTGTGCACCGAATGACATGGCAAAATCCTGACCGTTGATTAATATTAATTTATAATGAATCAACGGTCAGGATTTCGTCACTTCATTCGGTGTACAAATTCGGTGCACACCATTCGGTAACTGTAGCATTACTCTTTGGCCAAACGACATTTATTTTGGAAAAAATTTATAAGGCTAAAACGACGTTTAAAGGGAAATGGAATGAGTATAACATTACATTATAACATGATCACATAATTAATTATAACATTACATAATGAAATGATTATTTAATTAATTATAACATTATATTATAAACATTAGTATTTTACTACATCAACACAATACCTAATCAAATGATTAAAATTTTAATTAATTATAGCATTACATTATAAATTTATAGTATGATTATTTAATTAAATGATTACTTAATTAATTATAACACTCTATTATAAACATTAGTACAATACTTAATTAAATGATTATAAATTTAATTAATTATAATATTATATTATAATTAAATAATTACTTAATTAATAATAACATTACATTATAGATTTATAGTATGATTACTTAATTAATTATAATATTCCATTATAAACATTAGTACAATATTTAATTAAATGATTAGAAATTTAATTAATTATAATATTAAATTATAGATTTATAGTATGATTGTTTAATTAATTTAATTAATTGTTTTGGTTTTAGTTTTGATTGAGAAATTTTATGTGAATTATGATGAATTGATTGAATTCAAGTGTTGCCTAGAGATTAGAGGATTTATGAGTCACATGGACACAAATGAATGAGTAATCAAAATTTGTTAGGGGTGTTTTGTAAACTTTTAAGGTATTTTTATCATTTTTAAACTAATAGGGGGTAATTTTTTTTACAGGGTACCCGGGAAAGGAACCGAACCTGTTTTAGGTTTCGATTCCTTGAATTAAAGAACCTGCACTGTGCGGTTCCAATACCAATTCCTTTTTTTGGGAACCTGCACGTACGGTTCTGGTTTCGATTCCTCGAAAAATACAAGGTACCCGAAACCGCTCATCCCTACCCCCTTCACCCCTTGTTATAAAATTTCCTTAAACTTCACTGAAGGACATAATGGTCTTTAAAACTTAACTGGTTTTTTTATCACAGGGGTCTGTTTGCTGGTTGAAACCTTCAGGGGATAGTCATAGCACTGATAGCAGGGGTCGCTTAGAGTTTTCAAATTTATGAGGTCTTCAATGTAAGGGTCTCTTTTGTTATTTTTGAAGCTCATAACAGTCAAGGATAATAAGTCATTTAAATCTATTCAGTTGACTTCATTGGCTGCGTCTTATGACAAGAGAGTGTTCAATTGTTTTTAATCATCTATTCTCCACAACCGCTTCATCGTTTTAGTCTCTTAGGAGGGCCGTTGAAATTAACCCCGTTCCAAAAAGTTATACCAAATCAATAGTATTTTCTTTACATGATATAATCAAACAAAATTATATAAATTATTTATTTTTCTTTATTTTTTGTTTGATATATAACTATTTATATTAATATTACTCATACATCATCTCATCCTAAGATGTGTAATCTTCACGTGTGACACATCAGTGAATTGGAATTTGATGAATGGTAAGTCAATAATGTATAACATTACTTTACTAAAAAATTAAACCTTCTTTACCTTTACGCAACATAACCTGAAATTGTAAAAGAATATTTATGCATAGATGATCTTCTCAACTTGATGGTGATTTGTAGTTTTATTATATAGGATATTTAAGTAATTTCATTTTTTAATTAGTATAATAACTCTATGAGTTTGTAAGTATATACAGAGCTAACTCAATGATCTCAATTTCTTAAATGTTGGTATTTTATTTAAAAGATAAATTTAGATATAAAACTTAGTGATATACCCTTATACTTTCAATGAAACAGTTCTCTGCTCTATAGTATAGATTATG